GGCTGGGGCCGGCCTCGTTATCGCCACATGCATCGTCGCATTTGCATTAAATTGCACTACCTTAGGTCACTACGGTCGACACATTGCTATTAAACGGTACTTTTGATGGCATGTTTTACATTGTACCTTTATACTTGATGACATGCGATATTATGCAATGCTTTCTTGACATTACTATATTACAGAAAAGTTGTGATATATATGACAACTAACTTTAGCGATAATAATGTTAAAAAGTTTTAATATTTCTAATTAAGTATATTTATAATAGAAAAAAGTGCATGTAAAGCACAAAACATTTTAATAATGTTTTTGGTAAATAGATAAATGTGGAACGTTAGATTTTTTTTATGAAAGAAGAAAAGAGCGCTTGCAATGTAGGTAGTAACCTACATTGCAAGCGTTTAGATATATTTTTCCTGCTTAGGAAAAATTCTGAAGGACTTCTACGTTGTTAGCATATGAGATATGGTTTTTGAAGCGTAATGTTCATGTAAAGTTAGGTAAATTTTACAATTTCAATAACTCCTATATCCAGCATGGACTGTTGATGATAGGCAGATGATAACAATAGAGCAATTGTTTAAAAATGGATCACGTTCAAGCTTACTTACAGATTTAGTGTTCCATTCTATTAGTCTCCCGCTTAAAATAACAGCACACGCGAAGTCTGCAGTCTGTGAACACGTACAGGATCGCCCCGTTACTAAATTAGGTTTGATAGACCACAAATCCTCCCTAAAGAACACCGATTCCTTCCAAAGAAGATTCGCGAGGCTATTGAAATCAAAAAACATCCTAATTACAATAGAGTAGATGGCAGGGTGCTACCATCTGCTTCGGATCCCATAATTTATAAAATTAAATCCCAACCCAAGCATACAACTGCAAGACTTCAAGATACTGTAAGTTCATACTGAGTAGATCGGAACAAAAATTAATAATTTTTTAATCTGGTGGTATCTGTGGTTGACTATGACATTTCAAAATCAATTTTACGTGGTAGAGCTATGCTGCAGCTATATTACTGTTATAGTTGTAGCACGAATGAGTTGGCTCGACCGCTCTCACAGAATACCAGTGTAAAATAGCAGCTTAACTTTGCTGTGTTTCGTATGGTGAGTGTAGAGAACCGGAGAGCTTTTTACTGGAAACGAGGCATTCTATCTTAGTCCTCACTGGTGACAACGCATTTGCATTTTGATTCGTAATCGAGGATAGATATAAATGTCTATTTGTCACCCTTATCCTATAAAAAAAAACCCGACGCGTAGCCCTTAATATACAGTGACCAAACCTAAGCGGAAAAGATTATCACGCAATCTGGCCCACAGTGTAACAACTCAACTTGTGCTAATTCTCAAGTGACTTCGTTCGTGTTATTAGATACTGATCCCCAGGAAATTGAGAGCACATTTATGACTCTTAATTATGCCAGCATCTCAGGTTAGGACGGTAAGCCTACAAACGCCTTATTAAAATACAGCAGAGATTTTGTAGTTCCATTGATAAATAAGCTTGCTATCTTATGCTTTCGAACGAGTTTATTTCCTAGGGCAGTCTAGCGCTGTATCGTTTCTCCTGTTAACAAAGGTGACGACAAAGGCGACTTTAACAATTATAGTTAGACTCATATTTGTACTAAGAATCGTATCAACAGTCGTAGAAAAACTGTTAAACAAACTTGTATGACTCGCGCCGTGGTTTTTGAATAAGTCAATAATAATAACCTCTCGATAGTACAATGTTACACACATAGTAGATGGTTCATTTATCGAGAATCGATTCTTGATAATTTTTTTTGCCTGTTTCCAATACCGACGTATAAAAGTGTTAGCAGTTAGATAAGTACTTAATTTCACCGAAATAATTTACTTTATAACTTACTAGCATTCCTCCCCGGCTTCTACAAAGTTAAACTTGACGTTACAGTCTATATACGTCGCACTGCTGGGCACAGGCCTCCTCTCATTTCTGAGAGGGTTTTAGGGCAAGGAAATGTCCGCCGCGCGCCCCCAATGCATGTTGGGCGAACTTCACAAAACTTTTTTTTCTTATTTCTCAGACATGCAGAATTCCTCACGATATTTTCTTTCACCACCGAGACCGTGATAAATCAGCACTTAAAAGTGCAATTAACAATTTCATTGTTGCTTGGCAGGAATTGAACCAGGGTTGCTCGTGTACTGTAAAATTTACTCATACACAAAATTTCATCAAAATCGGTCCAGTCATTTAGAAGGAGTTCAGTCAACATATACATGGACATGAACTTTATGTATAAAGATAAATATAGGTAAAAATATAGGTAAAGGTCAAAGGTCAAAAAAACACTAAACATTGCTCTAACGAAAAGGTAAGGATTGAAGGAAAAAATTAACTTTTTAGTGAATAATACGTTTTCTGATACATCGGTCTACCTCTCGATAGTACAACTGGAAATGTAATTTTGTAATAATTGCAAAAAAATGTAACTTAATTTTCACGGTTTTCTGATTTTTTTTTTGCTAACTTGTGCTATGCTGTAAGTCTTTGCTTTCTGTCAAATTTCATGATTCTAGATCAACGGGATACAACATCCAAACTAAACAACAATTCATCAAAACCTTAGTATTAAATTTTTAACACCTCCTAGACTTTACTATTCGATATTAATTTCAACTTGAAACCATTACCCGTTCCACAGAAAAAGGGACTTGGTAGACGGACAGACTGATAGACGGACAGCAAAGTGAATAAGTGTTTCATTTTTCTCTTTTGAAGTATGGAACCCTAAAAATGATATATAATATAAAATGTTAAACAAACACACTATACAAAATGACTTTGAAAAGAGTCGACCAACTAAGGATACAGTTAAAGACATTACGACTATAATTACAGAAAAACTTGACGTTTAATGTGAAATTAAAAGCAGACTTCAAAGAACTAAAAACAATAATTTCCCATTGTGAAGTTGGTGCTAAGAAATGTTCAAAAGAATCAAAGCCCCGACTTCAGAACGTGCAAATCTATACAAATAAATTAAATTGAAGTGTATGTTTGTAATGTCAAAATTACAGCTTTTTACTAAATATGTATTTTTTTATAGAATAAGGGTGACAAACGAGCACACAGTCCACCCAATGGCAAGTGGTTGCTGTGGCCCATAGGCATCCACATCTATCTTCGATTACGAATCAAAATGCAGATGCGTTACCACCCGTGAGGACTAAGATGGAATGCCTCGTTTCCAGTAAAAAGCGTCTCCGGTTCTCTACACTCACCATACGAAACAGCAGCGTTATGCTGCCATTTTAAGCCGGTATTCTGTGAGAACGCGGTCCTTCCCCGGTCGAGCCGACCCATTCGTGCCACAAATGTACTACCAATACAGCTGCAGCATGGCTCTACCACGTACAAAAGTATATAGTGTACTTATGTACTATAAAAAACTACAATTTGTTAAAATTTTTGTCTGTCTGTCTGTTTGTTCCAGCTAATCTCCGAAACGCCTGGACCGGTTTTGACGGGACTTGCACTGGCGGATAACTGATGTTATAAGGATTAACTTAGGCTACTTTAATTTTAGAAAAAGAATTATAGTTCCGCGCAAAAAAATTAAAACCCTAAATAACACGCGGGCAAAGTCGCGGGCAACATCTAGTATTTTAATAATTTTATTTCTTTGTAATCGGTTTTTCTTACAAGTAAATTTTTTTGCCTTTTGAGTGTACATGTAATAGTATCAAAAGCTCGAATGTCATCTAAATAGTAACTATTAAAAAATTTGCTCCCCTATATAGTACTAGCTGGTACCCGGGGCCTTGCTGCCGCAATGAATGAAATAACTCCTCAAATATCGTTTTAAATTTGGAAGGGTTAAACAGAAACAGAAACAGAAACTTTTTTATTCAATATAGATTATAAATAATACTTATTGAAATTCACTCTTTTGTTTGATTACCACTGGTTCGGAAAAAACCTCTGTCCTGGGAAGAACCAGCAAGAAACCCAGCGGGACTTTTTTTTAAATAACAGCTTATAATCATGATGTTACACAAATTAACTTATTTATTTTTTATATTGCTTTATTATATTGCTTATATTGCTTAATTAGGAATGATAATACATTCATTGAAATTGAATGATATATAACTTTCAAATAAATTTGTCAGTACATAAAAGCGCATAAAATACGAATAAACCAACGTTAAATTTAAATATTAGATTAATAATAATTAATTATATTATTTGAACAATGCAGCCGAAAAATAATAAAAAAGCCTACAAAAATCATAAGTAGGCACGGAGCCAACAATATGTACCAATTACTTTCCTTTCCATCATCAACCTCATTATCAACAGTTTATGATAAGTCGTTAGGGTTCACAGCCTTTGATGGCCTTGTTTTTCACTTCATTTAGCGAGCTTTTGCTTGCGAATTCTTTGAATTATGTTGTAAGATATTAGATAATGGGCTTTTAATCCATTTTACGGAGCTCTAATTGCGCAGAAAGTTTGTTATTGCGCCTTAAATGTATGTACAAACACAGCGGCATTTACTCGCCTTTTTATTAGATTATCAAATGAGCTAACAGTTCATCAGATCGAAAGTTAGCTTCTGCCGCTCGTAGACACTTGCAACCAACTTCAATAAATAAAGAAGACTACAGATCTGTTACAGAACTGTTTAATAAGTTTTTTTGATGTAATTTGATTGTTTTCTGTTGTTTTTGTCCATATAATAAATAAATAAATAAGGTACCTGAGGGTAATATGGTCACGTTAAGCTTTTCCGCCCTATAAAACCAAAACTAGGAGCAGGACAGAGACAAAAACACAAAATCTTAAACTATAACTAATATATTAAGAAAAAAATAGAAAACAATCTTTGGCAAGAATTAGGAATACTTCTAAAATCAAGTTTAAAAAAAAACAGTTAGTGACCATATTTACCGCATATGCTGGAAATATGGTCACTATGTTTCCATATTAACAGTATGAATTTTCCAAGTAAATTAGTTCTCACATTTTGGGCACATGTATCTTTTTTTATCTTCTGCTGTTAATCCAACACACTCTTCATGTACATAAACACCACAACATTTGCAGAACCTCATGTCTGCTACTCTGTCTTCCTTACAGAGGAAGCAATACCATGATTGCGCTTGCTTGGTAGCTTGTTTGCGTCTCTTCACTTTTTTTTTTTTTATAGGAGAGGGGGCAAACGAGCATGCGGCTCACCTGATGGTAAGTGACTACCGCCGCCCATGAACAACCGCAACACCAGGGGAATTGCAGATGCGTTGCCGGCCTTTTAAAAAGGAGTAGGCTCTTTTCTTGAAGGTCCCTAAGTCGTATCGGTCCGGAAAAATCGCTGGTGGTAAACTATTCCACAAGGAAGTTGTGCGAGGAAGAAAACATCTTCTAAATCGCACAGTGGTGGACCGCCAATCATCCAGATGGTGTGGATGGTATCGGGAGTTCTGCCGCGATGTGCGTTCGTGAAATTTGGCGGCTGGGATTAATCCGAACAATTCCTCAGAGCACTCCCCATGGTAAATGCGAAAGAAAATGCTAAGAGATGCAACATCTCTTCGCAGTGCCAATGAGTCGAGCCGATCGGAAAGGACTCGGTCGTCGACGATTCGAGCCGCTCTGCGCTGGATGCGGTCAAGTGGAAGATGCTGGCACTGGGGAGCCCCAGCCCAGAGATGGGAACAGTATTCCATGTGAGGCCGAACCTGCGCCTTGTAAAGTTGCAGGCGTTGAGCCGGCATGAAATACTGTCCCGCTCTGCTGAGCACGCCAAGCTTTTTAGAGGCCAATTTGGCCTTCTCTTCCAAGTGACCACGAAACTGCACGCTACTCGATATGTCGACGCCAAGGATTCCGATACTGGCTGAGGCAACAAGGGGAGTACCTTGAAACTGAGGAGATACGACAAAGGGGTTCTTTTTAGCGGTAAACGCGCAAACTTGTGTCTTCTGAGGATTAAACTGGACTAGATTTAGTCGCCCCCAATCCGAGACTTTGTCCAGCAAAGACTCGACTTCAGACACAAGTTTGTTCCGGTACTCGGTGACGTTTTCCCGAGAAATATTGGCACGGCCGGTGTATAGAGCATCACCAGTGCTGTCATCCGCATAGCAATGAATGCTACCAGCTTGCAACATATCATTGATATGCAGAAGAAACAGCGTTGGTGATAGCACGCAGCCTTGTGGAACACCAGCGTTAATAGGCTTGTAGTCGGAGCATGCACCGTCTACAACGACCTTGATGCTCCGATCTGCAAGAAAGCTGGTGATCCAATTGCATAATTTCTCGGGAAGCCCATAGGAAGGGAGCTTCGAAAGAAGCGCTTTGTGCCAAACCGGATCGAAGGCCTTCGCAATGTCCAAACTAACGGCCAATGCCTCCCCCCTTGGACTCTACTGCCAACGCCCATCTATGAGTTAAGTAGACCAGAAGATCACCAGCTGATCGACCCCGACGAAAACCGTACTGGCGGTCACTAATCAGCTGGTGATCCTCAAGGTACCGCATGAGGTGGCAGTTTACAACGGATTCCATTATTTTGGAGAACAAGGGGGTGATGGCGATAGGCCTGTAGTTGGACGGATCTGAGCGGTCGCCTTTTTTAGGGATCCGGTGGACAAAAGCTGTCTTCCATGATTTCGGGACTACGCCTAGGGAGTAGGAGTACCGGAAAAGACGCGTTAGAACCGGTGCCAACTCCGGAGCACACGTCCTCAGCACATTTGGGGGGATTCCGTCAGGCCCACTCGACTTGTGGATGTCAAGGGAGAGGAGTGCTCTGCGAACCGAGCGCTGTGAGAATCGCACATCCGGCATGGAGCACTCACACCGCGGGATGGTCGGCGGTGTGTTCCCCCCGTCATCAACAGTCGAGTTGGACGCAAAAAGGGAGCCTAAAAGGTCGGCCTTCTCTTTTGCGTCGTGGGCCAGTGAGTCGTCCTCCCTGTGCAGAGATGGTAGTGATGGCTTACAGAAATTCCCTTGGACAGCCTTGGCGAGAGACCAGAATGCACGGGTTCCCGAAGGAAGGCGAACTAGTTTCTCGCCAATTCTGCCTATGTGCTCTGACTTTGCCTTGGCAATAACTCTTTTGAAGGACCTGGAGGCGAAGTTATACTTCTTTTTGAGTGTGCTGGTGTTTACATCCCGAGTCACCGAAGCCACAGCCCAGGCTTGATAACACTCCTGCTTACTGCGTAATGCAGTCTTACAGGAGCGACCAAACCAAGGCTGAGATCTGCCTCCGATGGGTACCACAGATGATGGAATAAATAGTTCCATTCCCTGTAGCACTACATCAGCGACAGAGTCAGCAACAGTGCTGGGATCATCCGGCGAGAAGCAAACCCGCCCCCATGGGTAGGAAGCAAAGAAAGACCGCATTCCGTCCCAATCCGCCGACCTGTAATGCCAAACACGGCGGCAACCTGCAGAACGCAACCGCGAGGGGAGCGTGAGTGGCACCACACTCCGGATTAGACAATGGTCCGAAGAGCCAAGAGGGGCATCGACGGAAACCTGATATCCGTCCGGATGAGAGGTCAGCAGAAGGTCCAACAGGGAAGGTGTATGATCCTCAACATCTGGAATCCGCAGGCGATGTAACCAGTTGTGTCAGACCATATGCCAAGGCAAAGTCATAAACAGATCTCCCCGCATGATCGGTTAAACGTGAACCGAGCCATTCGGCGTGGTGGGCGTTAAAATCGCCAAGGATCACGATCTCTGCGGATGGGACCTGTTGTAGCAAGGAATTTGTAGCCATTTGGACGTGGTCGATGAGTCGGTCTGTTTCGGCATTACCGCTATGGGACCTATAGAGGCACCCGTAGACGCGCGGATGGTAGTCGCTGTCTACGCGTAGCCAAAGGATGGACAGGTCCGAACCTTCAAGACTGCCGAGGCGTCGAGAACAGATGTCCTCTCTGACATACACGCAAACTCCAGCCCGAGGCACAAAGGAGTGCTCCGATTTGTACCCCGGGTAGGAGAGATACGAAGTATCAGCCGGAGAGGACACCTGCGTCTCGGTAAGAAAGAGCAAGGCCGGCTTCGCCGTCTCAAGATGGTAGTGGACGGCGTTTAGGTTCGAGTGAAGTCCCCTGATATTGCAGAAATTCACGGATAGCGTGGCAGGGGTCGCCTTGGTCTTGTTGCTCAGTTTGCCCCGAGCAGATATTGTGTTGAGCGGAATTTTGCCCCCCCCCCCCCCCCCCAGAATACGCGGGGAGCCTGAGCACCCACGCTCAGGAGTGGAATAGCATGGTCGTGGATGCTCAGCGAGGGATTCTCCAGGGGTACTGGTACCCTCCTGGGGTAGTTTATGACGTAATTCCGCTACCATGTTGATGGGGGGGGGGGGGAATTGGGCATCCAGTCACCTGCACTCACCAGACGAAACGCGGAAGCAGAGCTTCCACTTCACGCCGGTATTCTGTGAGGTCGTGGTACTAACCCGGCTCGAGCCGGCCCATACGTGCAACAACAAAAGCTGCTGCAAGGCTCTACCACCGTTAAACTTACACACGTTACTTCACTGGATGGGAAGCTTTTGTGCTTGATGGTGTATTTACTACTGTAAGATTTATCTTAGCGAACATCGACCTTGTCAAATGCAGTGCCAGACTGTTAATTGTTTTGCGTCGTTGTGACTTATTGGTGGAATTTTTTTCAGGTGTTTTCATCATATCTGTGAAGGACACATTGCCCGCTTCATTTATATTGCTGGAAGATGTTGACAATATCGGCTGCAAAACATTGCATAACGTGGAGGAAACTATAGGCTGAACAACGACTTCATTAGTTGAAGATATAGGCTGAACAGAGCATACAGAATTCGAAAGCCCCGGTTTATTGAACACTGGAAGTCATAGAATTAAAACCCGTAAAGGTTTTAATTCTATGACTTCCGGGGAAGCCAATGGTGCTGGTTCATCTCTGATGCAAGATGAAATCACATTTTGTTGTTCATTGCTTTGAAACAAAATTAAAGGGACGTTATCTTCGCAACTGAAACTCTCATCATTAAGTGCAGAAGCTGCATTTATAACGCTTGCTGCATTATTTTCATCAGAATTTCTCTCCGGTTCACCTGCTTCTGGTAAGTGAGTTGGAATGCTAGGAGCATAAGCACATTCCGGAATTCTATCTGGGTTGAATGGATAGATTCCAGTAGCTTCAAATCCGGATTTTATATTAGATGGGGTAAGAGCTTTGTCCCATACTGGAGTAAATATCCTCCCGAATCTTTGTTTTGTCAGAGCTTTGTCTTTGTTCTTGAACCGAAATTTCTGAAGCTCTTGATCCCAGTAATGCTCAAACGCTCTAAAGACAGCTTTGTCCATGGGTTGCAAATCGTGCGTTGTGTTACTTGGAAGACATAATAGAGTAATGTCGTGTTTATCTGCAACGTCTACAATATTGTAATATAAGTGACTAGATGCTCCATCGAATATCAATAAACATGGACCTGGAGTCTTGAATTTTGCAAAATGATGTATCCATTTCACAAAGGTTTCAGAGTTCATACTGCCTTTTGGAGTCATTGCTACTAAAGGGCCTGGGGGTAAATTATCTTCCCATTCTTGTTTCAATCACTTTGAAGAGAATCATAGGTGGTATGGTGTTACCGATAGCATTTCCACAGGAAACAACAGTTACATTTTCAGCATGTTCCGAAGCTAGTGTGTGGACTCGTTTTACACCTTTTTGTGTCAAAACTAAAGGACTTTTGTGAAGCATCAATTGGCAGCCCTTTTCATCAATGTTGTACGTGAACCGGTTTATCTTGCACAGCCAACTTCTCCATTATTTCCTTGAGTTTTTTAAAATAATCATCCACCACAAACTTGTTAAGCTTTTGTGCCCTAACAGGACTTAACTTTTGGCTTTTTCTCAAAGTAAGATCTTCGTGACGTTCCATAAATCCTATTAACCAGTCACGCCCAACTTTACCGTTTCCTTCAGTTGACTTTGGTATACGAATTTTGTTGAATTTGCAATATTGATACATAGATATTCTCAATAACTTTGGTGTCATAGGTTAACCAACGCTTGCTAATCGTTTAATACGCGTTACCAATTCATTTTCCTGTTCTGAAGAGAGAAGTGGTTTGCGACCAAGATGAGACTTTAGAATTTGTTTTGTCTTTAAGTACCTTTTAAGGGTTCTCCTTGGCATTTTGAACTCTTTGGCGGCGGTGTTTACCTTCTGTCCATTTGCAACTGCATTAAGAGCAGCTTGGAGATCCTCCTGACGCCAGTTCCCTCTTAATCCTTTCTTAATGTAACGACCCATAATCTGAAAAAAATGATATTAAGCCTTATTAATTAGATAATCCTAACAAAAATATCCTAAAACTTTTTTTACTATTTTCATTCTGTAAATATGGTCATTTCGGTGGCCATATTAGCAGAGCAGTACTTGTTCACTTTGTTTACGAATAACAAAAAACTACATTTAGAAGACCATGACGGACACTTGACTATTTAAAAATATGATAAATTATTTATTTACTTACCTATAATATGGTATGATGAGTCTTAAAACAACAAAGTTGACAGAACACAGCTTTTTTTTTAATAAATTATAAGCAATACTTCAAACTCTGACCGCGCGAAATCGAACACCTTTCAAAATGGCGTCGATAAATCAGCGCCCTTATGACCTTTTAATATTTGATTGAATAATGAAAAGCTATCGTATCATAGAGCCATCTATGCAAACAAGGCTGTAGATTTTGACTTATAAAAAAGTGACCATATTAACCGGATGACCATATTACCCTCACGTACGCTAGATGCGTTTTCACTTTTGAAGACTAAGGTAAATTCCTTGCAACCTTTTATTATTTTGGCTCTCTTTTGCTTTATTACCTTCAAAACCGAAATTAGACGGTTATTTTTTTATTTATATTATAAGGGTATAGTACAAGCGATCACACAGACCATCTGATGATAAGTGGATACTGTGGCCCATAGACATCTACATCTATCCTCAATTAAGAATCCAAATGCAGATGCGTTGTCACCCCTGAAGACTAAGATGGAATGCGTCCTGTCCAATTAAAAGGGTCTCCGGTTCTCTTTACTCACCATACGAAACACAGCAGCATTGAGCTGCTATTTTACGTTGGTATTTTGTGAGAGTGTGGTTCTACCCCGCTACCACCATAATATAGCTGCAGCATGGCTCTACCACGTATGTGTATACGGTTCACTGCTGTTTGATAAAAATTGGTATAAGGATCGTACCAAACCAGATACTCTTATCGGGAGATCAATATCGTTTAAGAGCACTGGCGACTCTATGTTTGTGGATACAGACGTTCCGCGCGGACGCTATGCGCTGCTCTTTAACCATCCATGAAAATATTGAAAAAGTACAATATTTAAATGAATTGCAAAACACTAAATACTATATTTCTATTATTAAGAATATTGTGTAATTTTTTTAAATTAATTTCGCACGAATGTCAAAATTGATATTAAATATATACAGGAAAATAATATGATCCTCGTGTACAATAACTCCACAGATATGATGGGTGACGCCGACAACTATATAAATACTTTCAATTGTGTCCTATCCATCATCACGCACTATATTAGACTTACAAGAATAGTTCTGTCGAGAATGATATATTAACGGTTCCAATAGAGCCTAAGCCGATCGTTATCGTGACTTATTCCGTTTTAGTAACACTACTATATTTTATAATTATTTCGAAAATTTTAAAGCGAGGTCACAACGAAATAAATATGAAGTACGTTCGAAACGTCTTCGAAAAACAAAAAATCTGGTTATTTACGTGGGAATGTCACCTAGTTAGTCTACATTCCATCCACATTTTCCAATGTATTAACGATACGTAAAAACCTATTGTTGACTTCTATTTGAAACAGATTATTTAAATTCCGTAGTATGCAAGAAAAATATTGTATTTTTAGACATTTTTCTAAATTATTAAATGTATGATGTGGTGGCAGTCTATCCGCTGAACACTACTCCTTTTAAAAACATACGAGTATACCAAAATTTACTTTCTACGAGCCCACTGATAATTAAAACTTTGAAAAACTAGCTATGCCCCATATTGCATACGCACAAACCTGCTACTAATATACCTGACACGAACAAATCTCTGTTGTGTATTAGGAATGATAACTTCTAATTGATCTCTTTTTATCTTAAATTACGTTCATACGAACAGAAGCAGAGTGGCATCACGTCTTAAGCAAGAGTGCTACCGGGCCTGGGCTGACGAATCGACGTCACGTGATGTAAACATCAGCGCTCTTGAAAGGAAGTACAATTTCGACTCCAGGTCCCTTAAAAGAGTTATTGCCAAGGCAAAGCCAGAGCACATCGACAGCATTGGCGAGAAAGTATTTCGCTTTAAACACGTGTATTCTGGTCTCTCGCCAAGGCTGTCCAAGAGAATTTCTCTTCACCATCTCTCCTATCTCTGCACGGGGAGGGCGAGCCACTGTCTCGTCAAAGTGTCCAACTAGTCTCTCGATAACGGGGGAAACACACCGCTGACCATCCCGCGGTGTGAGCCATCTCATGGCGTATATGCTGTTTACATAAGGCTCGGTGTGCAAAACACTTCCTCCCTGGACGTCCAACGACGTACAAGTCGAGTGGGCTTGATGGAGTCCCTCCTATTGTGCTGAAGACGTGTGCTCCGGAGATAACACCGGTTTTAACACGTACCACTCTTAAGGCGTAGTCCCGAACCCGACTGACCTCTAAGACCCGTCCAACTACAGGCCTATCGCCATCACTTCCTTGTTCTCAAAAATAATGGAAACTATTATAAACCGTTAGCTCATGAGGTACCTTGAGGTTCTCCAGCCGGCCATGTTCGGCCTCAAATGGAATATTATTCTCATCTCTGTGCCGTGTCTCCCCAGTGCCGGCGGCTCGAATCCTGAGTTTCACTGATTGGCTCGATTCACTGGCGTTGCGAAGAGATGTTTCATCCCTTTGCATTTTCTATCTCATTTACTACAGGGGAGTGCTCTAAGGAATTGTTCGGATTAATTCCAGCCGCCTAATTTCACCAATGCAGATCGCGACAAAACTTACGTTACCATCCACATCATCTGGATGCTTGGCGATCCACTACTATGCGATTTACTAGGAGATTTCTTCTTTGCATGACTATTTTGTGGAATCGTTTACCACCGGCAATTTTTCGGACCGATAATACTTAGAGTCCTTCAAGAAACAATTTACTACTTTTTAAAAGGCCTCAGCTGCAACTCCCCTGGTGTTGTAGTTGTTCACGGGTGGCAGTCGTCACTTTTATCATTAGGTGAGCCGCTGGTTTGCCACTTTTTTTATAAATAGAAAGTCGCCTAAGTGCAAGTCGCACTCGCGCACGAAGGGTTCTGTACCATAGTAAAAACAGGTTTCTAGTAGGGGAATCCTTTAATTTTTAATTTATTTTATTTTATTATTTGTTCTTATAGCTGCAACAGAAATACATATTCTGTGAAAATTTTATTCGTCTACCTACTACGGATCATAAGATACAGCCCGCTGATAGACAGACGGACGAACAGCTGAGGCTTAGTAATAGGGTTCCGTTGGTTACATTTGGGTACGGAATCCTAAAAAGAGAGTTTGCTTTCGTTAAAAGATAGTTGAAATCGTTTTAGTTATTTCTATTAGTTTTGCATTACAGTAAGTTTTCATATACAATATTAGACCCACCGTCATCAGAGCTAACAGCCGACAGAGCCACGTAAAGCTAACCGTGTGAAAAATAGCTGATACCGTTATACCTTGATCTACACAGGCCACTCTCAGCGTCTGGCTCTGCGTTTTTTAAATGATCATAGCGTAATATAAGCTGATTAGAATGTGCATGTTTTTAAAAACGATCGGACACAGCCAACCAATAATATTATAAAAAAAACATTACAAATGAATAACAGCATAAAAACGTTTTATGCTTCATTGCAAATACCTTCACATAAGGATTACAAAGGGCTGACTTAATGCCTTAAAGTATTATTTACCAGTCATTGTAAATAATACTTTAAGGTGGGTGAAAATTAAGGACAAAAACCTTAATAATTATAACTTTTAACAAAAAATAAAAATCGACTTCAAACTGCTAAAAAAGAAATTATTTATTTGCTACCTTAGGGGCTTTTCTACAAAATTATATAGGATTACCCTTAAAGTATAACCTATTTAACAAAAAGAATCATTAAAATCGGTTCTATATCTGCAAAGATATCATATCAAATTCCTTAAACAATAGTCCAATATGGAACTTTTTCCCCTATTTACTACCCTTTGGGGCGGAGTTTTTCTCCAAAATTTAATGGGACTACCCCTGAAGTAAAGCCTATTTAATTAAAAAAAAACATTAAAATCGGTTCACAATCTGCAAAGACGTCGCGTAACATACATACAAAAAGCATACACTCGAATTGGGTATCTACTCCTTTTTAAAGTCGGTTAAAATTTATTTTACATAATTAATTTTCATAATTATTGTCAAATATATTTAATTAAGTTCAATAAAAATACTACTTAAGAAAAATTACACTGCTTAGGAATTCTACCGGTAACCGAATTAAATTAAACAAAACTTAATTCCAGACACAAATTTACTCAATATATCACTGAAAACTACATCAAAATTTGTTGAGCCATTGTGGATATAAGCGTGCACAAACGCACAGACAAACAGACTTAGAAATGTTAATGATTTTATTATATATCTCACTTAAAAGAAAAAGACAAAGCTATAGTCATTTTATACGAGTACGTATATTATTTGACTTACACACTATAGCAATGTACTCGCGTGAAATGGCAATTTACTGAACGGTATTTCCTGTTGAGAATATTTTATGAAGAATGAAATGAAGTTACAGTTTTATAGGTATAATAACAAGCAATAGATAAAGTAATCAATAGATTTGGACATCATGTACACATAATTGATAAATTTTATACTTGGTAGAGCCATGCTGCAGCTACGTTAGTAGTATAGATGTAGCACGAATTAGTCGGCTCCACCGGGGAAGGACCACGCTCTCACAGAATACCAGCATAAAATAGCAGCTTACCACTGCTGTGTTGGTGAGTGTAGAGAACCAGAGACCCTTTTTACTGGAAAAAAGACATTCCATCTTTAGTCCACACGGGTGACAACACATCTACATTTTGATTCTTTATTGAGGACTAGCTGTTTCCCGCGTAATCGCCCACGTGTTATTTGGGGTTTTAATTTTTTTTTGTGCGGAACCCTAATTCTTTACCTAAGTTAC